ATAATAATAATATATATATATATATATATATATATATATATATATATATATATATATATATATATATATATATATATATATATATATATATATGTGTATGAAATGAAAAATGATAGCTTATCTAATCTAACATATTTTCAACATTTTTCATCTTTAGGAGGAATATTTTTCCTCCTTCAAAAATTGCTACTGCTATTGCTACTACAATGTTATTATTCTTATTATTACCATTACCATTAATAATAATAATAATAATTACCGTTATCGTTACTGATATCATTGTTATTGTCATTATTATTATTATGATAATCATTAATATACTAATACTATACAGTCACTTATAATTTGGTCACTAACAGTAGTTAATAGTAATAAACAAAATGTAATTAAAAATTAAAATATAATTTAAAGTATAGTTTTTTAAACTATTAAAGAATAAAGTATACTTTAGTTAAGGCATAATTTAAGTGAAGTATACGTAAGGTATGATTAATAGTAATTAATATAATAAACAATCATTAATTCTGATTACTAATACTTCATACTCTTTGTAAATTATTGATGATAACACTTTGCATGTTGACTTGTCTAACTATATTACTGTATTCCATGGACGTATCCGTCTCCATTACCACTTCTTTCGCCAAATATAAAACTCCATAAATGATAATAAATATTTTCGAATTCATTCCTTCTAACATTCTAAAATACTATTTACTTAAACATTAATGAAAAATTAATAATAGTTAATAGTTAACCGTACTCCTCCTCGTACATAAATAATAATTTACCGAGTAATCATATTTGAGTAATCTAATATCGATTCATTTCAGTTTGTTATACATATCACCTTCTTAAAATGCTTGATCATCAAAAAGCGCTCTAATTAATTGATTACTTTCTGTTAACATTCAATTATTGCCTCATAAATTGATAATTGATTCTTTATGGAAATCTGAAAATCCTCCTAATAACCGAAATTTCTATCGCTAATTTCATATCTTGACAAATATTTGAACAGATGAATATTTGCTTTCATTATTATGGAAAAGCAATTAATGGGATACCGTAAATCTAACAAAAAGGCAACACTCACTAAATTAACCACACTTTATTATATTAAAGCAAATTTTGAAAGAGAAAAAAGAAAAAAAGAAGAAACAAAAACTCAATATGAATCAGAAAATTTTTCACTGTTTGGATAGGTTGGATGAAATTAAATGAATGGATAAAGTATAAGCGGAATAAGCAAAACACCTGCTTGAAGGATTGATTTATTACTTTGTTTCTATTCTTTAGATCTTCTCCTTACATTATTCATCTTATCCCTATTTTCTCTATAATTTTTCACCTTCAAAAGTTTTTTAAAAAAAAAATTTCAAGCAAAGATTTTCAAAAAAAAAAGAAGTTGAAAAAGAGACAAAAATCAAACTCCCAAATTGATATGCCAATATGTATCAGTCATTTAACCAACTGCTAATAAGCATTTTCGTTTTCTATTTATTTCGTTTTTCTTGCAATTTATCATATTACTTAGTAGAAATATAAATCAGTTAGCACATTGAATATCAATTAATTAATTAGTATGCATAGATATTTTATTCGTTGAATTATTTACAAACAAATTTTTGAATGCAAAAATGTCAAATTTTCAAGATAATGAACAATGAACAAATTTTTAGGAAACTTTAACGAATAAATTTTTAGAAATATGAAATTTAAAAACAGATAGTGGCGGCTATTTGGTATTTGAATAAGCTTAAAAGCAATATTACAAGGAGCAATTGTAATAATTCCATCTCATTTGCTTCGCTAAGAGATAGCTTGTCTTTTCTAGAAAAGACAGCTTTAAGGATAATTCTCAAGGAACATTTAAAATTGATAAATACAAAAGTAATTAATTGGCGGCATAGGTGTCATGATAATATCAAGAAGAAATCACCTTTTAACCTTCATCACCTGTTATGAGCCATTGGAAAAAGTTGCATTTAAAATAGTTTTGTGGATTTAAAAAAAAAGGTTATTTGAGCATTTTCATAATCTATTACACTGAATTACTTTCAGATCTGTTTGTAACATACCTTATCTTAACTTAATTGCTATATTTCCTGTTTTCCATTACTCATTACTAATGAATACCTCCTGGAAATCGTAATTTTTCAGGATCGAACATATGTCATTACTTCAGTAAATGATGGCAAATAAACACCGAAGCCAATCAACAAACTAAAATTTTTCTTTTTTTTTGGAATTAGAGAGATCTTAGCAGATGCTATTATAGAATAATAATTCACCTGGCAAATCAAAAAGACCATCATATACTGGATTTTTTTTTTTTGACCTAGGATAATTTGGCATACCCAATATCATCCTTCTATACAGGTAAACCCTCGTAAACCTGGTAGTCCAACCAGTCCAGGGGAATCTGAAATATTTTTATAATCACTGCAATAATTGCATATTTCTTCTTCAAATTTATTATTCCCCAAATTGATTCTTGTTCTTCTCATATTTCCCTCTGTAAAGCTGAAATTGGCAAGAGCACACTGCAAAAGTTTGCAAATATTTGTTCACTATTTTATCATAATTCCTCAGAATATGAACTTTTTACTGCTCGCATATGATACCTTAATAACTTTATACTTCAATAACTTCGGCATTCCGGATAATCGGGATTTACCAATTCTACCCGATTGTCCCGGTACACCATTCAATCCTGGTTTTCCTTTCTCATCTGATAATCCAAATCCAATCCTTAAGTATATTTGAATTAAAACAACAAATTTGTTATCATTTCACTTTAAACCAAAATATTTGAGATGTCAATGATTTGTTAAAATTTCAAAATATTGCCCACAAAACTTCATTTTACCTTCAGGTTTCTTATGTATGAAAGTGAAGAAGCGAGTTATAAATTTATTCATACGGAAATATAAGTAGCGGTTGTTTTCATCCGGTTTTTCTTGAATTCTCGGTTCTCCTCAATTACCCATTGTTCCAATAATGCCATCATGACCAACTTAGTCCTGGCAATTATTCCATATCTTTTCCATCGAGTTTCTCTATCATACCTATGTTTATCTGCTTTGCTGACAAACAAAAATTAATTACCTTTTTATTTAAGACTACTCTAAAGCTATTGATTTGTTCAGTTTATCAGTAAAATATTTCTTACCGGTACATGTTATGCAAAAGTTCAGTCTTATTTTTTCTCACTTCTTTCTTTCAGAAGTAAATATGTGACATTATATGACAGCCAAGCTAGGAGAGATCAAGAAAAGCATCGGGAACGGATAAAAACAGAATATTACTATCTGATTGTAATTATAGTAAAGTGGAAATGAGAAAACTTCGTGATCATTCCCGAGAAATAATTACTCCTCAAACTGTGAAGTTATAATTAACAGACAATATAATGGTGCTTACCTGTCAATCTTTGCTCCTTTACTTCCCGATCGACCTGTTTCACCTTTCTTCCACTTTTTTCCAAGCATTTCAGTTGCTTTCTTTATGCCAACTTCATCCAAGCAATTTCATTTTTACCGGGATTCCCGATAATTTTTAAACTTCTATTTTCTACTAAGATGTTCATTAAACATAATACTATAGCACTCATATCTGATAGCCTTTCTTGAAGCCTTGGAATTTTCAGCTACATGTCACTTCCTATTGTCAACAAGTGCCCTAATAACTTGTACAAATGAAGGATGTACTAAGTAAGGAAATAAGCTTAATTAATTAATTTAACAATTCAAAAAAGATAAAAGATCAAAAGAACAACGTCGTACTGCTAGTGTACAATTTTATTTGTATCCGTTATCATTGCTTTTGGATTTTAGTGTGATATTCCTGATGTTAATGAGATATAATCCTCTGGGATACAGTATTATCTCTGCCAGTATCATTGTCATTATCATTATCATTATCACCAATATCAGTCCATTAGCAAGTTAGTAGTTGATCAAAAAGTATACCAAAATATGAACCTGTCACAATGCTACCAGCTTTTGTCTGAATTAATTTCGTCATCTTCTGGTATTTATTGGTAGTTTAGTGATGCGACGGCTAACATCGATAAGTTTAAACTTAATTGCTGTTGGAAAAGATTTTGTTTTGTGAAAGATGACATCTCAATGTACGGTTCAACAAAGATATGTGTCCCTATAAAGTTTCACAAATATATTTGTGTAAAGTTCAATTATAGTAGAGACACAATCATTATTATACTGCGGAATAATGAGTACTGTAGCAGTTCTCTGCTTAGCACTTTTATCACTTCAAAAGATAATTAAGAAGGGATTAAATAATTCGTAGGATGAAATCCCTTTTTTTTAGTTCTATTATGTTTCTATCAGAGAAAGAGATTAATGTAAAATTAAATTTTTTCATCCGGAAGTCTATTCTCCAGTCTTCCACTTGTATTGGTGATAGTAGCAGTGGTAGTATGAATACCCTGAAAGAAATAAATCCTAATCTATCAGTGAAAAATAAAATGATAGCATTCATAAGTTGATTTCTTTTCAAAAATATCAAATACAAAAATGCTAAGAAAGAAATGAAAACAGTAGAGATCTGATCTTTCTGTAACAAATTTTGCAAAATTTGCTTGACGATGTCGAAAGTCAATCCCTTTGAGAAGTCTGTCTCAGTTATAGCAACCATTATTTGATGCATCTCCTTGTTTATGATAGTTTTAATATTTTCAGTTCTATTTCTTTTTCCTCAACCAAACATTTTCCCGTTTCCTTTTTCTGCATAAACGACACAAGTAGTCCTGCTGTTGTTGCATAATTAAGCACCAAAATCATATGTTAAATTAGTTTAATGATATCCCTGCTTTTACTAGCTAATCCAAAAGTTGTCAATTTCGGTTAACTAAGGAAACTAAGAATAAATTATTTTGCAAAGCATTATTAATCATCCCAATAATCCCTTTAATTCTTAATCAGAAAAAATCCCCTAAATATTTTGACGTCCTAATGAGAAATTTTTTCAAAAAGCATATCATCTCGTAAATATGAAGCAGAAAAAGGTACCATTTATGATAAAGTTTTATTGAATCCAATGAGAATAACACCAATTTAGCATCTTCATTATCAACTGAATGCGGCATATGTTTTTCTTAAAGTCTGATTTAAAACTTTAATTTCAATTCATGATATAACAAAGTTTGTGTTTTGAATTTTTGAGGTACAAGGAAATCCCTCGAAAGTGGAAAAGTTTCTAAAAATTTATATATAAATATTTTAAAAGATATGAAATTCTTTTAATCTAACAAGAGAACTGAGCATTGAGTAAGAAGAGAACTAAACATTATGCATAAGGAAATAGAAACACTGTGTTTTCAAAGTAAGATAAATAAAACATGCAATATTCCCTCTATAAATAAAACCCTCGCCAAAAACTTCATCAAATTTTATTAAGTTCTAAATAATACAAGCCAGAAGGGAATGGTGATGAGTAAAAAGTTCAGATACAATTAAATCATGAAATGTAGAAGTTTTTTTTTCAAACCATACATGAGCTATTCTTTTTATTCTTTTTTTTTTTGTTTCCACTGAAAATTTGCTTTCTACCAATATTTAAACTCTAAATTTTATGCGTATGTTTAAAACCGAGTTATGAAAGCAATCAGGCCTTCATTGAAATGGACGGATTCCTGATCTAGAAATAGAGAAAGAGTGAGGCCAAATGATGACCTCAGATAAGCAGATCAAACAGATTCTGTACAATTTTGTGAAACGCAAACAGAAGTAGAACCGTAACTTGTTCAAAAACCAAAATAATCAAACATCAAACAATAAACAGCATGGAATTACGAGTGCAAACTGTTCACAGATTGATTTTCTGATGTTGATTGACTTTCTCATTCAGAGTAATGCCAGTACTTCGGGTCATCTGCCTAGAGTTTTCTATCATGCCACGCAGTTTCATCCATACTCCTTGACAGCAATGAAACAGAAATTGATTTTTAAGTGTTTTTGCAACGCTGTACTGTCGGCTGCAAATAATTTAGTCCTATTTCACAAAAATCCTTCATCAAATCCAACCAAGACACTTCACCGCAAACATTGTATGAAAGTGTCAAAATTCAGATATTCAAAAACATAGGAAATATGTGCCTCAAGAACCTCAAACATTCTGAAAGGATTGTATTATATATAAGATAGACGGGAAGAACTAATAGCAATCTTTCCAATAAGTAAATTTTTTAATTTACTTGACTTGATTGGCATCAAAATTCATTTGTGAAAAATAATAAATGACATTGTGTTATAAATCAATCAAAATTCATTATGATGTGTTGGCTGGACAGATTAGTCCCGGATGAATGCAAAATGATTAAGGGTACAGTACCGCCGAAGCCCTTCATTAGATCAGTGGGGGAAATCTGATATTTAGCACTACTGCATGTTGCAAATGTTTAATCACTTCATTTAATCAGTGCTTAGGTTATAAATATTCTTTTATGCCATAATTATTTGAAATTAAATTACCGAATAATTTTCGCAGCTGCACGATATCTTTTCATTTGCATCAAGCTGATTGAAATATATAATTTACAGCGTGAAATTAGGACCGGATCACCAATATTATTAGCAAGTTGCAATTGACTATAGGATACAAGTTCGGCTTTTTCAGCCTATAAAAACTAAATACTAATTAGAAGCTTTTATGCTATAACATAAAATATTTCATTTTCGAACCGGTTATGAAAAGAAACAGAGCAAAAAATACCTTTATTAAAGAGATTTGATTTTGTTTTAACTATTTCGAACAAGAGTTCAGTAAAGGTCAACTCACAAAGTGCTTATAATAATCACCCATAGCTGATAAGGCACCACCAAAAGTTGATAAAACCCATAACGACTTCTCCAGCTCCAAACCTCTAACACAAATGGCGGAGATCCTGTAGTTCCTAAAATGATGACAATAGTGTCAAAAACTCTCATCCCCTGTACCCATACTTCTAGGCCTTTTTTAGATGCTATTCGGTTTTTTTTGTTTTGCTTTTAAGGCACTTATTTTCTCTTTCAAATTAATCATTAACAAAAGAAATTGGCTTACATCATGTTAAATCAGTTCCATTCTACTATGAAAAGAACAGAAACATCTAAAAAATAAAAAGTAAAAAAAATCGCTAACAAAAATTATGCTCACCATTTGTAGTCAATTTCACTAACCATCGGTTCGCGAAAGTGAATTACCAAATATACATTCTGAACAGAAATCACAAACAAGTTTTTGTTTTTTTAAACAATTTTAAATCATTGAAAATCTATTTCCGAAGCAAAATCTAAGATGTGAAGCTAATTGCTAAGAAAATCAGCTATTCAAAGGTTCCCATGACTCTCCAGTCATATCCATTCAGCGGTCTCACCAGTATGGTATAACACTTGAAATATGCTCAAAATCTAGAAAAAAAAGATCTTGCAAGACCACAACACCATCATTAATAGTCCAATGATCACAGGCTGTTGAAACTCTAAAAGTAAATGAACTGCAGAAGAAAAAGAAATGTAAAAATCCTAGTCTCTGTTTGTTCCACAATTAAAATTCAATAAGGAAGAAGCTTACACTACCATCCGGAATATTGTAATTTCGCTTCAGAAAACCCAACAAAGCTTGTTTCACATATTCAGTCTGGATGGCATAAAGTAACGATGCCAGGAAATAAGTTGATGTTTTCCATTTCACAATCGATTTGTTCCCCGGCAGTTCATCATCCAATTTAGCACAGCAAATCTGCTGCGGCACTCGTAATTCAAGTAATAAAGTATCACCAATTTTAAACCTCATTGAACATACCAGACCTAAAATTATGAAATACCTGCACTTAGAATCAAGTGACTAGCATCTTGAACAATTAGAAGATTTTGTAAAATTGCTAACTCCCTTAGTGCTGCTAAAACCATTAAAAGATTTGAGGATATTTTTAGGGAGTTTCTGATCAAGAAAATACATTATTGCAACAATAAAGAGAAAATACATTATTGCAACAATATTTCTTCCCAATAAAGATTTAATACACTTAGCCAGTACCAAATAGAATCATGAAATCCTAAAAACTGATCCTGTACTTTTATCAAAACTAATGAAAAGACCCAGAAATATAACTTAACTGGGTTCCACTTTCTTACAAATTAAGTCCAGAAATTTCAATCTAATTTTTTCATATTTCAAAAATGATATGTAGAATATAGCGATTCATCGAAAAGATGACGTTGCAAATAGAAGTATAGTACACATATCGTTTGTAAATTTTATTTCCTCAACAATCGTAATTTGTTTAAAGTATACATAAAAAAGGATGGTAACGGAGCACAAATATGAATTTTTTGTGAGCTTCGTTTCGATAGTGAAATAACCATTTCTTTCAAATGTATATACATTGGTAGTCGACGGAATGAATTACCTGCAAGTGAACTATGATGTTTTCAAGAAATTCAGAAATGAGACCTCAAAGAGAGTACATGGATTACAACCTATTAATCCAAATTTAATTATTCAACTACCTGATAATTTATTTATTTTAACAACACATAAAGCGTCAAAGAAGTGGATTTACACCTTAAATCTTCTGAAGTGTATGAGTAAATGATGAAATCATAGTAAAAGTAACAGAACTTTCCAAATTCCAAAAAACCACTAAAACTGTATAAACTTTATCATAAAAAGTACATGGCAGCAACAGAAACCGAAAAGAAAAATTGAATTACCGGCAATATTTAAGTCCTGTAACGCACTATCCGATAATCGTGGTGGAATCCCTCTTCCTGCTTCTCGACGACTATAATTGTATTTTACATCACCGATAATGGGACATGCTATACCAATACCAAGATGAGCACGTATTTGCTCCGGAACATCTAAAATTCTTGCTCGTAATCTTTTTAATAGCATTTGAAAATAACTGCATATAGGAAGTAAACCTTATTCCAAACAATATACTGAATATCAAAATAATTTCGAAGCTATGCTTCACAAAATTAATATAGTTTTTCAAATTATTAGAATATGAACACTTAGTTTCATCTCTGAAACAAAGCTGTCATACATGAATTGTTTAAATTGCTGGACAAATATTTCCAAAATTGAACTGCCATAACCCAAGAAACATAATCAGTGCCTTTCAATTTTCGTGACTCAACCTATATTTCTTTCCAGATACCATCTAGATATTAAAAAAAATACCACGATTGACGAAACACTCCATGTAACTGGTATGGTTTTTGGGGTCATGCTTGAGAAGTCGATAATGCGTACTTGCTTCCAAAAACGGAGGAATTTCTTTGCTGTTGTTTGCACCCAACGGTAACATCTAAATCAGTTAAGAAATTCTACAAATAACTTTCGCATTGCAAATGATACTTTTAGATTTAGCCATTTTATAAAACTCTTCGAAGACGGATATATAAATTTACTACATTTTTTGCATCGAAGGGATTATCTTCAGCTAATCAAAAAAAAAACTTCAAAAATTGAACAGTTTCTCTGTCATCCAATTCCATCTGTCATAAGAAGGGTTGACAACATCTACGATGGCACTAATCAGTCAGAGAGATAAGCAGTCTAGTTTATATTCTTCGTTATAGTAAAAAAAAAAAAGGAAAAAAACAATTGAAATCAACGGTGTAAAAAAAAACCATGTAATTGTTATTTTTCCTTGTACATTTGACAAGAGGAATATTGATAGCAGCTTCTTGATGCGCAGGTGCCATATTTGTAATGACGTGGTAGCACTGCTCCATTAATCCATTATCGTACAAAACTTTTATTTTTTCCTGAGCATTTTGATTCCTATAAAGGAAAGGAAAAATCCAGAAGAATATTTGAACCTTCCAGAGCAGCAACTCTTTTTGAAATTAATCAGTTCAGTTTAATACAGAAAATAAATTCCTGATTAGTATTTTCTAGTTCTGAAAACAAACTCTCCTTAATTCTAATTTTCTTAAGCTGTAACATTAAATTAATAGACGCTTTTTCTATTCATACTTGAAAGGATCAAAAAAGGGGGTAACTAAAAACCAACAGAAAGAAAAAAACTAGTATATGATCCAAAAATAATTCTTTTAATGCTAAGTAAACGGAAAAGTAACAATATTTACGCTCAAATTCACTGACAAACAAAAAATAAAGATGGAACATGAAAAAACAAACCAACTTTGCAAACAATATCACTCCGGTAACAGATTTTCCAATGGATTTAACGATTCGCAAACAATCCATATTTGGTGCTATTCGAGAAGAAAGTTTAGGAAGAATACGTAACAATTCGGCTTGATTGCTGGGCGCGTTTGAATAGGCCACTTGATATGGCTTGTCGAATGCAATAAGTTCCTCTAAAAACATTTATAAATTGAAAATATTTATTGAAAAGAAGCAGTAAATATGCAAAATAGAACTGAAAATGGTTAATGTCTTATACGCAAACAAATAATTATGTGCAACAATAAACAAACAATATCAAGTCTAACCGTCTTCATAAATAATCCGACTAGTCATTACGTTAACTAAGTCTTCATCGCTCATTCTCCATACCGGTTCAATTTTATCCCATATTTTCTTTAGACCTATATCTTTGTATGTCTTTAAGTCCAATATTTCCTGCAATATCAATAATTTTCGCCTCAGAAATACACTGCATGGGAAGCGTATGAAATTTTTTTTTCGTGTCATTTAAGAGTATGTAAATTACATATCACCAGCAGAAGCAACTAAGATTACATAAATCATATCGCAATATCCTTTATTTGTAATTTCCTCATAAAAGCAAAAAAAGAAAGAAAACAATGTGAAGTTACAGCATCGTCGACTAATTTGTCCTGGCAGGCAAAATGGACAAAGACTAGTTTTTCGTAAAAAGATAAATGAAAACTGCCAACCATTCACAATTATCCATTTGGGAATTCAGTTTCCCCCAACATAAATCAATCCCTCAATAATCCCGAAGACAGTACGATGGAAACCAAGCGCCGTCAATACTTTTCTTTAAATCAAGAGACTCGAAAATCACTTATAGCATCTCCTTATAATAATAATTTGACTTGGTAGTTTTATCGATAAAAATTTACAAATGATTGAATATCCTCGCCATCTGCACCATTAGCACTGTCACCATATCCAGTATCCTCATTGGAATCTGCTACGAAGTTATTTGAAGATGCATCCTCTGGGCGTCGCTGAGCTAATCTAAAGAAAAAACATACTGCAAAACAAAAACTGATACTTTCAAGAAAGCTTATGAGGTTCCAACCCGAATTTGAGGCGAATCCCAAGCCGACAGAAATGTTCGCTGAAACTTGATCCACTTAGTCTAAAAGAAAAAAGAGATACCGTCATTCAGACGAACTTGAATGAAAACAGCTGTAACATTTGGGACCCAGGTATATCTCTTCGATGTTAGGACCCACAATGGAAAAAACTAATCATAACGACTTATTTGATTCAGCAAGATATTTTTTTTAATAGCGAGATATTCCCTTCACACAACAAAATCAGTGAAGTCTTGCTTAATAATGTAATCAATTTTGCGGCAACCAGATCCCTTACTTGGATTCTGTTTTGAAATGCTGTCATATCCTCTACAAGATCCAACTTCTGGAAAATGAATCTACCAGATTATTTATCAGTAATAGTGCAAACATTACAACGATGAACGGTCGATAGGATAAGTTTCCCCGCATAAGTTAAACGTAATCATAGGAATTTGAGGAACTGTGTTTCTTTACAGATTTTGTCTCAGATGAGCCACTGCTGTCACAGCACGCCTTAAGTCTATTTCCCGGAAAAATATGATTTGGAACGGTGCCCATAAGTGTTCTGTTTGCACAACGCCTCGGTTACTCTTGCCGGATCCCTAGATTAAACATTTGTCGAAATTACTGTAACTTTTATTCGCGTCCAATATAGATCGACTGTTTAGCAAATCACCGAAATACAGTGTATCAACATAGTCGATACCAGATGTATCAAATGCAGAGTTATCAGCCCTGCTATTTTCTTCTTTACCAATCTCGATGTTCTCAAAATCACCAAAATACAACGAGTCGATGTAATCGGTACCAGAGGTATCAACAACTGTATTTGAGCTGTTTGAATTTCCGGTCATTTCACGCTCCAGTCCAAATAAGATCGATTTGAAAAGTATTTGAGCAAAATTTTGATCCAAAATAAGCCGACCTCTGTTCTGAAACAACATTTTGTTTATCCGGAGCTTCACGATGTTTTTTCCTCATTGTCCTGGATCGTAACATGATTGCAGCTTCCATATGCCGTGGAAGGGGTGTTTCCGTGGCGTCATGAATGCCAAAAAAGTCATCTTTTTCGTCCATTTTAAGCACCATCGTACAGTCTCACTATCTCCTTCCTAAACATATAAAACTGAGTTTAAAAAAAAAAAATCGACATTTACGACAAATTCCTCTCGTAGATAAAAAACAGCACAGAAAATCTTCAGAAAAAAAGAAAAAGGAAAACTCGTTTAATGGAAAATGAACCAGTCGTCATAGAAATAAATTTGCAATTCGGATTAATTTTAAACAGCACAAATAATGATAACAATAACAATAAATCACCTATATATCATCATGAAAAGCACTTAAGAAACTAGAAAGGAAAGTCAATTAACAATAAACAATTGACTACACTTTTTAGATATGTCGCCCTCTAAAACAGATCGTTTGTAAGCTCCCTGAAAAAATCCTCACCATTTAAATAGCCCGCTGGATATCGCTGCTCCGCACTGTTTGTTCTAACGCAGCGTTATAAAAGCTCTAGTTAGAAATGCTAGCAGATATACAACAAATTATTGAAAATAAATTAAATTGGTGAATTCACGACTTCATAGCCTATCCGCTTAGGTAGAACTGAAAGTGCTTCAGTCCAATTTTTTGAGTAGACGTAACGCACAAGGATTTCAACAACTTGATTAATTGTGAGCATCACATTGAATGTTCCATTATCACGTCGATGAAGAAATTCTTGTATTGGTAATCGTCGAGCATCCAAGCCTAATTCTTCTGGAAAACAACGTACAAAAATTTTTCGGTTCGTTTTAAAGAAATAGTGAGTTTAGATGACCTCATACCCGCAAAAACATTTACTGAAAAGGCTCCCTTAATTATGTTTTTAAAACTGCTTCTCCAGTTACGCTGCTACTATTCATATATGACCAATTCCGAGTTGAATATCCTCGAAGTCTTTAAAGCAAGACCTAATATATTTTAAAATGTGATGGAAAGCAAAATTATCAGATATACTTCTATTACAACAAATGAATAAGTTGATGATATTGTGTTTATTTGACAAGGCCACCAAAGGATGGAACCAGAAATTGCAGTTCGAGGAACAAGAATTACTCGGATGTTGCAAAGTTAATTTCATAGCTGCTCAAAATGATTAGTATCCAAATATTTAACTGCATTGTAAAATCAAAAAATACGAAGATACCTGCTCTACAATATGACAACGATCCAACTCCAGTTTCATCCACGAGGCCACCAATAACATACACTTCGTCAGGTTTCACATCTAGCAATGCATTAAGGTGTGAATCTGGACTCAAATACACCATATGACATTCAGTAACAAACTGAAATTTTCAGGATGATAAAAAATACTATTGTTTATACTGAAAATGCTACAATCAAACAACGCGGATGTGATATGCGATGCACAAAAATGGTCAACATAAGTGCAAAAACGTTTCCTATATGACATTAAACGGCGATGAAATGGTTCATTAATTACCATAAGCTGATTGGTACTTTTGAATTAGAGACATCTCAAAATATATAAAATCAATCCCGAATAATAAGACTGCACTTCGATTCTGAGTAATTGTCGATCTTCACAAATTTATTCAACGACCAAGTTTCAAAATTCGACAGTCAAGCATTTATGTGGTTTCATTGTCGAGTTTTAACAAACTTGAAATATGATGTGGATCTTACTTCATCTATACTTTTATTGGAAATGACCCAATTGAAATGATCGAAACCAGATATTTTCCGACGTCCTTCACACAAAAAGCGTTCATCTGGTGAAAGAAGTGTAACCTGCAAACCAGGACTCCTGCAAATTTAAATTATCCGACAATTTTATCTGCTGAATGAAGCTATCCATTCCGTTATTTATTCCCAATTGTAATGTTATAAGTTTGATGAAGCAAGGTTTCACGAGTTAAAAAATGAAAAAACCTCTCTGATCCAAGTTACTGTTTCACATCAGTAATTGTATTTTAGCATACACATATACATGTATGTATGCATGGTTATGTAATACATATATGCATATATGCACGATACGAATGCTATACTGACTCACATTAATCATACTTTCTTTGGTTAGTGACTTGTTGCTATGAGCATAAATCTTTATCACATCGAAAAATCTACCAACACATAAACTAACATGAAATGAAATATCACACCTCAAGCCATTAACCGTGCACACACAGTATACAAAAAAAAAAAAAACAAACTTCTTTTGGAGACCCCAAACACGACCCATTTGCCGAACTAGTTTACCTACTTCCTTATCACTCATACGCTGCACAAATCCGAAATCGATGTATATTTGCAAGGCGAAACTAAGTGGTTGTTTGATCATCAGATTTTTTGCTTGATTTTCACGACGCCGACGCCTTTCCTTAGATCTGTTCAGTCGTCGTCTTTCAATAACTCTAAATTATAATGATGTTAAACGCGAAACAGCATCAGCAATATCACTCATTGGTATGTTCGCTAAATGATCATGATAGCTGAGTGATGATAGCCATATATGGAATCGATCCATTTGAAATATCTCCAAAAAAAATGGTTATGTATGCTAATAGTAGTACTCCAACATCATATTATAGTGCAAAGTATTCTTAATTCAAGTGTACCTTTAGTTAATATTCCGCTACACAATTACTGTCCTTCACTACTAATTCCTTCTTCTCCAGCTTATTTTGAATCTTTCATCTTCTTTTTCCTTTTTTCTTATTTATATAAAGCCATAATAGCTTAATTTGAACATTCTTAAGAGGAGAGTAAATCGAGGATGTAACTCACCACTTAACCATCAAGCTCTCTGCTGATAAAAATTCTAAGCGTTTCACACGAAGAAATCTGAACACTCCTTTACTATCAAAATAGCTTTATTTTCTTTCGCGGTCATTAATCTAGATTCCAAACAAAAAAACTGATCAGAACTTTCTATAGCATTACCTCATATAGCGTGTTTGCTTAGAGCAGGTTTTATTCGCATCAGATCTACTGCTGGATTGATGATCTTCCGAACCGACTACCGTCATCTTTTCTTCTTCTAGCGCATCCAGTAATTCTAGGAAACATTCCATACTAAAAAAGGAAATTGTCCCGGACTGTTTACCAAATGAACACTTCATAAAACGTCCTCAATATGGAATGTTGATTCGATTTACAGTTCAGTTAAATTGATAAGTATGAGAAACGATTTTCTGAAACAACTTCAGTGAGAAGGAAAAACTGAAAGGAATCACAATGAATACTGGGTGGAATGATGGATCATTAAAAATTAGTAAAATGAAGCAAAATGAAAAAAAAGATAAAATGAAGGTCAGAGACAAAAAGTTAGATATATCTGATCAAAGAGAGCATATCATATTAATCTTTTTGTCTAACCTCCAACTAAAACATTATGCGTCACATTTCAAACTATCTTACGATAACTGAAACTAGTCAATCAAAGCATTTTCAGATTAAAACAAAACGCAAACAGAAAGGAAAATAGGCAGGAATCACTGTTCAAAAAGATTACTAAACGACTTCGAATTTTGATTGAATTTCGACTTCGAACTTTGAATTTTGGACTGTTGATATTCAACGATGAGACGAAAGTTTTCGCTACCACCCACTTAATCTCGGACGAAACCAGGATACGGTAGCTGGGTGAGACCCAGTAGTTATATTTTACGGGCCGTCCAGTCTCTATTTAATGGGACGGAACGAAAATATTAATTTCAGGAACTGGATGAATGTTTGCGATATTACATCGGGGTTGGCGAAAGGAATATTTTGGATTGGAAATGAAATTAGGGAGGTGTGGAACTGTTTCTCTGTTTTCTATGTGAAATTCGAAATTAGCACATTTTATCGTACCCTTCCATTTATTCTGGCATTTTCCCAACTTTCTATGTCGTATGGAGCGTTAAATTTTAAAATATTCTCCAGTTTATCTTTTAAAAATTAATAAAACTGTTATTTTTCCTGAAACATCCATTAAAAAAGATATTCGAAGTGGAATACTCATAACAGTAGGGCTAATTTGTTCCATCAATTAGGAATTTAAAAAAAAAAGACAAGATTTTAAATTCAATTCCAAAAGAAAGGTAAATTTATCGTATTCAATTAACATCATATTATCTTCTGTATCTTATTATCTTCTGTTATCATATTACCTTCTGTATCTTATTATCTTCTGTTATCATATTATCTTCTGTATCAATTCGTATTATCCTCTGCAATGAGAAATGGAGTGCTCATAACAATAGGTCTAATGCTTTTCTTCAGTAGAGAATTTCTCAGTTTACTTTATTGAGGAAGAAGAGATTTTGCATGTTATGAGAGAGAATGGAGTGAGATTGTTTGGTCATTTAAAGCTGTATCTTTCCTAAATAATATGATGCGATCCACGATCTGTCCATCTATCTGTACAATAATTTATTCATTCCCTACTCTAGTATATATTCCATGTAGGATAAGGCGATTAAATAATTGCTGAAATTGTCCAAATATTTTGTGGCCTCCAACAAAAAATTAGAAATGAATGAATGAAGTTGGTTAATTAGTAACATTGAGTTTAAGCTGCGTGCATGAAATATATCCTAAGTATGCGCATGTGTGGACCTTTTGGGAGTAGTCACAATTATGAGATAGTAAAATAAATGAAATTAAAATTTACTTATCACAGCACATTTAGTTGAGATAATGCTAAACACTATTTGCATCTCTCTGTAATGAATGTCGTCCAATAAGCTTTATTTCATATCCTTCGCTAGCTAGCCTGTGATACCTATCTCATCAGGCTTGCTTCCCTAATTTATGCACATACACACACATACACATAGACATACAAATATATGCATAGAAGTAAACATACACTGCCAATTATATACCCCAGACTGTTTAAAGCTATGTTTTCACCATTCTTCAAATCAATAGTGGAAACGAGCCAAGTGCCATAACTGGGAGGGAAAAGGTTATGATAATAAAGAATAAGGCATGAGCAGCTGAAGAGAGATGGAAAGCTTTTTTTGTGTTTTCTCGCTGTCTGCTCTCAAGACTTGGCCAAAATTAAGCACAGCCAAGTTCTAATATTGCAAACGCACACGCAGACACACATGCATGCATAGATACATGCACACAGAGCAGCTTAGTTGTTATGTGCAAAATGGGCTTGCTGTGATATCTTCTCCACCCCAAAACGAGGCATTACTAGTAGAAACGTTGCAAATGGCGACAAGCGGTTGACGGTATGGTAGCAGATCCGCCGATTTCCGGTGCTGCTTCAAATACGTTTTTCTTGAACCGACAAATTATCCAACCTGCTGCCATCATCATTTTCCTTCTCCTAACTGGTACTGTCAATACCAAATCTGCCAATGGTAGGTTACTGAAGTTTTTATCGAGAATTACTAAGTAATTGATTGATTTCATCTAAGGCTGGAAGCAGTTGATTTGAATTGGTAAAACATTTGCTGGAAAAATGAGATACAGTATGGGTTTCGATTAGGAAATACTGGGTCGACTGAAAAAAAGAGTCTAGATTACCCTGCAATTCAATAACAAGCATGTCACCTATGAATTATTGTGAGCATAAATACTGCAATTCACAATTTCTTGCAATATCGGAAATATTTCTGTCAAGAAGTACTAACAAGTAAAGCAGCATAAAGCAAATCAGGCACATTTCTAAAATTTCTTGAAAAATTAGCGAAGGGTTCTTCAACTTTCCAACGATTCTCCCCAGTTTATTTTAATTTGTGTTATTTCAGTTTTTCTATATCATTTTTTATTTTCATACATTAAAAATCATCCAAAACATTGCTATGTAAGTATCGAAAATGATGCCTTCCACCAGCTTTGCCGATATACGAATAGAACAAATTGAGTTAGAATAACTAAGCTGAATAGAGCTTAAGTTCGGTGTACAGGACTGAATTAAAGAAAGTGAAATTGAATGAAGCTGGACTACGTTTATTCTACCCACGATATTTCACAAAAAAAAAAAAAAAAAAAGAAATCTAATTTATGAGTCCTAGTCCAGTTGAGTTTTATGGTAATTCAAGCAAGAAATAGCAGGAAATATAACATTCAATCTTTATTCCTTTCAAACCCTAAGGTTATTTCCGTTATGTTTAATTTAGGATCGATTTTAGGACTGAAAGTCGTTTTTTAATTGAAAAAAAAGGATCATATATATTGAAAGTTTTGTTCGCATCTTATTTTCCATTTAATTGCATCATGTTTGCATATCTTTTACTTTATTCGTCATAACTCCATTAACATTTGTGAAACTGAGATCTATTCGGAAATTTTTCAACAAATGTTAAGACGAAATAAACAACTACGAAATCCCATGCGTAGACTTTAATTAATAATTGAAATATGTATGAGCATTTCATCACAATAATTGTTATGGCTTTCTGAATCGTTATTTTCGATCTGACGTCATGCATTCAGCATGCACGTGTAACCATATAATTCATTTTGATTACTAATATATCGGACCGGCATGTTTTGTCAGCTGACATATGAACCAAATAAATACTTAGACAGTATTAACGAATAAGTGTAAAATTAAGCAAAAGGAGCTGACAGCCATCACGGATGAATTAATATGCGTCAGTCAACTGAGAGTTCAAGAAAGGATGAAAACAAACGAAATTTCTTGGAGGAAAAATTATTAATTTATCGATTACTTAGATCCTAACTTACAAAACTGATAGCACTGCAATATCGATGTACTTCTAAGGAATGTATAAATGATACGGAGGGAAGATTATTCTCTTAACACTTTGTCCTCTGCATAATTCTCCTACTTTTTTTAACTAAGAAATGAAGACTGAGTGGCTCCTCATAAATATTTCGGATGTAGGGAACTCTCGACATGGCTTGTAGTTCTTCATACGCCCATCTTTTAGTACATTGAAGCAAACTTCTTATGCTTGAAATTTTTTGGATTTGTTGAAGTATAATATTTCGAAAAATTTTATTTTTTCGATAAAATGTAGGAAAAATTGCAATAATTTTTCGAGGTGCGGAAATTGTAACCTTCAATTTTGATATTATAAATTAATTTATATGGCTTTTTTTCTTTTTAAATATTGATATTTTTCATTTCTCTTACATAAGTTACTAAAATTGAATTTCATTATATGCTTGTTTTGTGAAATACTTTTGAAGTTTCGAAATAACGAATTTATTTAAAAAAATGTTAGTGGTTGCTAGGTGACACAATAACGTTATATAAGAAAGCATTTTGGAGAGAGAGAGAGAGAGAGAGAAAAATAAGGCATCTATAATAGAGCATTTCAGATGACTGCTATTTGCACCAACAAATACATACACTTATATTCATTCTTTTCATCATTTCGGCTACAAAATCAAATTATAGTAAAGTCGCGAAACTTTAGAAACAATAAACGAAGTATAATGAATGATTTCTGAGATGGTTGTTGTTTATTTCCTTCCTGTTATAATTTATTTGTAAGCAGTATAGATGGCTGCTGGTTGATGATTAGTCATTCGGAATTGTATTTTCTTTTGATTCATTAAATTATTTAAGAAGGCTTCTGGAATGAGTTAGAGTGAGATCATACAAATAAATGTGTAAGGCATTTTATTATTACCAATTTCCTCATTGCCTCGAAATCGATATTTTCGCAATAAAACATTAACAGGAAAAAAAAATATAGGATGCAGTTTCACAATAAAATCATCAAATGCCTCAAATATGATTTCAAGATAGATACAAAATACGGTGAGATATAATCCTAAAATTCCATATTAGATCTCTGGATGGATCGGTCAAATATTAATTGTTGGGGTAGATTATAATCACAGACAACACCAAAAGACTATTACTCGTCAGCATGCTGTAAATAAGTTGTATTTTTAGAGCCGAACATCAAAATAACACAGCGTGGAGCTTTATGAAAATGATGAAATATTCTGTTTCTAAATAAATCCCTTCCTGGTCATGAGATGTGAATATTTTGATAATTTAATGGAGTTTCGAATTTCATTTTGCAACCTTCATGACTATTTATTAAATCATCTATATTGTTTGAAAGGCAGCGAAAGTGTTGTTCTGTCGTCAGTGTGCGCATTCTCGATTTTAATAAGCTTTAGTTCATTTTTTATA